TATAACTTTCAGATGCAGCAAGAAGTCAAAAAATTCACGTGACTCACTTTAGTATGATACTCGCTTTATTTGGGGGGGGGGCGGTCTGTAAGTGAACTCTGCATCTCACCAAGGTAAGTCTGTGCATATTGGGCTACCTGGGCGTATCTTCTCTGCTGTGTGCAGAGGTGAGCTCCTGGCAGAAGCCCCTTCACCTGCAGAGCATATCTGCCAACTAAAGGACCATTCTCCATACATGATACAATGAGGTTGATACTACTGTTCAATATGTTATATTGAAAATAATATGATTAATCCAGGAAAAAAGGAGTTTTTGTGGCTGTGCCTCTGTGGGGACCCTAGAAACTAAAACACTCTTCCGTCTCATTGGTGAGAAAAGTGGTTTTTCATGGTGAGGAGACTTTGTCATGCTCAGTTTGTTCTTATTTCATGTTAAAACCGTGCAGGTAGAATCGCCTGCAGGGCGATTGGGAGGCTGGGCCAGCCTCCCAGCCCCGTGCCTTGGGACTGGGTAAGTCACTTAGTCCCTGGCTTTCTCCTTAATCATAAAACAGAGGTGTTGATACCTGCTGTGTGAAGTTGTTAGGAATGAAGGCGATCTGCTTGTAAGGTGTGTTAGTCCCTGGCCGCTAGATGGTGCAGAGCGTAGTAGGGATGGTTATGATTTTTTTCCTGAGAAGTCCCATGAGGGGATGGGCGTGGTCCCTTGGGAAGATGTCACATCAACAGTCTGATCTGTGTTTGCTGGGAACGAGGGGCTAGAGCCGGCAGTAAATCCGTCACAGGACCCACAAGCCTAGACATCTAGTCTGGTCCCAAGGCGCTGGGATCAGAGGACGAAGGGGTTCTTAATCTGCCAGGGCCGACCGTCAGCCAGCAGACACTGTTTCAGCCCCAGGATACCAAGGTGCGTCATGGCACTGTGGCAAGATGCTGGTGTGGGGGGCCCGGGGAGGCCCGCAGGGACAGCCAGGAGGAACCACCAGTCTCCTCCGGCGGCATGTGTGGTTGGGGGCGGCTCTCGCCCAGTGTGCGCTCCGTGCTGAGGGGTGTGTCAGGTTGTCTAAACATCCTGGCCACCAGCCTGGGATTTTACTCCCCGGGGACACGCAGTCGACCCGCCACCAGACTGCCGAGAGATGCTGAGACTTTAAAGCTTGGAATAAACACACATAAAAGTCTGATTGGAGTCCTGCCTTTCATTTAATAAGATGGTCAAGGCATCGGGCTTGCTCAGCGGTGGCTGTGTTTTCTCCATTTGCCTCTCCAGCTTCCCCAGGACTTGTGGCTCTTTGGGGGGTAGGCTCAGTTGTGCTGCCTGTGTTCTGCCCATGGCCCCCTGCTTCCCTTCCATCACTTTTGAGACTTGCTGTCCCAGACAGGCAAGCTCAGGAAGCCAGTCTGTGTCTGATGTTTAAAAAAAAAAAATGGCAACCTAATACCACCAGAAATAGGTATTATTTAAATGATCCAAAATAAGGCAGAAGCAACTTTAATTAGCTTTTTCTTGGTTCAGTATTTTGGTTGAATGAAATTGCTTATTTTATGTTTACATTTTCTTTGTATCCTTAGAACGGGCGCCTAAGGATTAAGCAAAGGACCAAAAGAATCACACTGTTTTCAGCTCCGTGGCAAAGCTGGTATAAAGCTACTTCATTGTTGCTCTAAATTGATTTAATCTTTCTGGAAAGCAAACTAGCTGAGTGTAACCAAAGCTAGAAAATTATTCATAACTTCTTTTGCCCCTGGCTGGTCAATTTTAGGACTCTCTCCCAAGGAAATAGCTTCTCTCTCAGAACCAACAGAGGGACTCAAACATGCTTTGCACAGAGAAGGTTTTCCTGCTCTTTGTGGCTGTACAGTCAGCAGAAATGTAAGCTGTGGAGAGGAGCATGGGGCTTGACATAAAGGACCGCAGTGATCCTGAGTTGCTCTGGGGTAGGGGAAGGGATGCCGGGAGAACAGCTGCTCCCTGGATGGCCTGCACAGTGCTTCTAACCACATGGCCACCGGGAGTCTTCTGCAGGATCCTCACCCCATACCCGCGTCTGGAGCCCACAGCCAGACACAAGAAGCCGGGCCAGGGCCATCGTCCTGTGCTCACTGTGTCTCCATCAGCTCAGACAGCCACGTACAATGATGGGAGTGGGGTGAGTGCTCACTGGCTTATTTTTTGTTTCCTTTTAAAATGGAATTTATACAGAAAAAAAAACCAACCAATTCTGAACGTAACAGTAGTTCTTTTATTAAGCTGGTGAATATATGTTCATTGTTATTTAGAAAAACAGACTGATAGGCTTCTGAGTAGCTTAGCCTCTGGTAACTGTCTCTCAATTGAGCAGGAATAACCCAACTTTTCATTAAAAATCCCAGACTTTTTGAGATTTCTATAGTTTCTGTATAAAGAAAGTCCCTAATCCTGGACAGAATGGAGATTTTTAAATGCAGCGTTTTCAGCTGGTAGAAAACAATGTCTGCAGGTGTGTCCAGGTATCTTTGTGCAGCAGTTTAACGAGGTGGGTGAGTGCTGACGGGTGAACGCTGTAGGGTGGCTGGGAGCCCTGTTCCTTGTGTTGGACCTGTCCGCGTGTATTCACATACACAGCCACATACGTTTGACCCCCTTGTGTACATGCACCCACTAACCACACAGACAGGGGAGCTGACACATTCTTCCGTGTTGTTTCTTTATCTGATCTGAATGCTTTCAGAACCATGGTTCTGGTGTGCTGGACTTGAGTTCTGTCTGGGGTTTTGACAGCAGGCTCCAGGACAGCGTCTATAGGGGACAGTCTTTGGGGGCAGCAGGAAGCGCCAGACACGCCTTAATCAGAGGCAGGTTGGTTGGGATGGCTCGCTGTTGGGAGCATGTCTGTTTTTATGCTGGCACAGAGGTGGCCAGTAGCTGTTTCTTTTCCTCCACAGTCAGGCATTCATTTCTGAAGCATCTGTTGACACAGTGACCTCCCACACACTCTCCCTCCCTATATTGCCCACCAGTGCAGGGCAGCATTGGCTATCAGCCCAGCCTGCACCGTTCACCTCCACAGAGAAGAAAAAGATGAGTCACACCTCGTTTGCGCCCCTGGGAGGGAGACAGGGTAGCCGTGTGTGTATATAAACGCACACAGATAAACTCAGCTGAGAGGTAAACATGAAGTGTATTAGAAACACCGAAGTTTGAGTGAGATTTAGAACCTCTTGGACGATTACAGTGGACCCCTTTCTGGTCTTTCTGTCAATAAAAGGAGTAGAAAAATATATGTATTGGATAGCAAGCAGGAAAATTAAAAGAGGACCACTTACAGAAAAGTTTGAAAACCAGTGCCCTGCGGCTTCCCTCCAGGCTCATATGTCTGTTCCCAGAGACGTCTCCCCTGTCTTCCTGGCCCCACACAGCAAGCAGGCACGATGTGTGAGCTCCGACGTTGATTCTCAGCCGTTGGACAGCATCCGACCCCCTGCAAACCATACAAGGCTCCAGGATCTGCCCCCAGCCCTGCCTGTCACAGGTCACCACGGCACCCCCCCTGCAGCCACACTGGAAGAGCTTTGGTATTAGTATTAGAATTTGAGCAAAATCTAGCTTAACCCAGCCATTCATTCTGAGAATGTGTTGGTGTCAGTACTTAAGGAGTCTGAGAACTTATAGTGAAACATACTTGGTAAATCAGCTTTACATACCATTTTCAAAATAATAATTTATACAAAGATATAGAAATATATTTGTTACTCAGCACTCATCAAAGTGTTTATTGTATGTTCCATTGTGTCCCTGCTGTGGAAAAACTATTCAAAGTCCTACCAGCTTTCTCTAGGAGGGCTTCCTAGAGAGGACATGTGTATTGGTTAGCTGTTGCTGGGTAACAAATTACCCCAAGATCTAGCAATATGAAACAACAAACGTTTATTATCTCATACAGTTTCCCTGAGTCAGGAATCCGGAAATGGCTTTGCTGGGTGGTTCAGGCTCAGGGTCTCTTATGAGGTCAGAGGGCCCTGAGGCTTCCAAGTTCACAGTGATGGTTGTGGGGAGGTCTCAGATCCTCCCTGGCTGTTGACATGTGGCCTCAGTTCCTTATCTGTTGGATCTTACCATCAGCTGCCTGTGTGTCCTCACAGCACGGCAGGCATCTTCCCTGGGAACAGGTATGGGTGGATGGGTGGGTGGATGGATGGGTGGATGGGTGAGATTGGGACCAGGACAGAAGCCATGATCTTTTTTCCTGATCTCAGAAATGGCATATCATCCCTTCGGTCATTCTTTGTCCATGTAGCACAGGGCAGCATTGTACTGTGGGGGCGGGGTCTGTAGAGGGTGCCAATTCTAGAAGCTGAGAATCTTGAGGGCTCTTGGAGGCTGGCTGCCACACCTGTTCCTAGAGGGGTCTTCAAGTATGTGACGTAGTGGCAGTGCATTGATGTAAAGTCATTAGAAGGGGAATCTGAGATTCAAGGGCACAACCTACTCACTTTTCCCCCTCTTAAGCCAGGACTCCTTCTCTTTGAATTTTCACTTCTTTCCAGTGACCCTCTCAGCTCAGGTTGTGAAGTACGCAAGCATCTGCCTGGAGCGGTTACATCCTCCCAGCAGACGGACTCCTACAACCCCAAGTCCAAAAAACAGAGTCCAGTGTTACTAACAAGGGCTCCCAGGCTTGCTGTCTCATTTCTTTCAGACCTGAGGCATGTGGATCCTTCTTGTTTCCTGGATGGATATAAATATAAAACTTGGTTGTTATTGTTCTAGAAGAGGGACAATTGCCAGGAAAATGGGGAGCTCAGGAAATTGAGTCTTCTGGGCGTTGGGGTCCCCAGGGGAGAGCTCCTGATTTTCTCTGCCGGTGGTTTGTTCTGGGTAGCTGGAGAGACCGCCTCCTGTCTCCTGCAGCGGGGCTGCCTGCCCTGCCCTGCCTGGCAGTGAGTGATGGGGGAGGGGGACCCTGGGCCCTTTGCCTGGGGTGACTCCGGGTCCCAGTCAGTGTCTCTGTCACCTCCAGGCAGGTGCCAGTGGTCGCCCAGGACAGAGCATTTGTGTCATCGACGAGGTGGGGAAGATGGAGCTCTTCAGTCAGCCGTTCATCCAGGCCGTCCGCCAGGCGCTGTGCACGCCAGGGACTGTGGTCCTCGGCACCATCCCCGTACCCAAAGGAAAACCACTGGCCCTCGTGGAAGAGATCAGAACCCGAAAGGACGTGAAGGTGTTGAGCGTGAGTACCCCGCGGGTGTGGAGCAGGTGCCCTGAAACAGCCTGTGACTCCGGAGCACACCCGCGGCTTCAGGTCGCCATAGCTTTTCCTCTTAGGCTGGAATATAGGCGCGTCTCGCTTCCTGTGAGGTTATGGAGCTGAAATTATACCACTGCTTGGTGACAAAGCAGTCTTGCCTCTGGGACCGCCGGAGGGGCCGGCTCCTCCCGCCGCGCGCCCGCGCCCCCGCCCCCGCCAAGCCCTGGCCGCGCCAGCGTCAGCAGCACGCGGCTGCGGTGCTCTGTGCTGAGTGCCTCTTCCAGGGTGATGAGCTTACAGAGGCAGGCAGTGCTGTCTCACTTTGAAGGTTTCCCTTTGAAACTGACCCCCTTCTGCTTGTGAGGGGAAGGAGCTGTGGCTGCAGGTTGAGGCACAGACTCCAGATGCCGTGGAGCAGTAGTGCTCAGAGAGCTCCCTCCAGGGTGAAAACGTGCTGCCCGCACCAGGCGGGGCCGAGCCGCGTGTGACTGTCCACATTTGAATTAAATGACACGAAATTAAGTTAGAAAACTCTTCCTCAGTCACGCTGGCCACTTGTTAGGTGAGACGCTCTGCCTGGAAGTGCGACGCCTGGAAGTGGGCTCTGGGCAGGCCCAGGAACCTGTCTTCCCGAGCTCCCGGGAGCTCAGGCCCTGCCGTGGGAGGAGCCGCGGGGTGAAGCTGGTGAAGGGCAGGTAGGTCAGGGGCAGTGGCTGAGCCGGTTTGCAGCGCTGATGGGGCTGCGGGGTTTTGCCCACATGCGCGCTTTTCTCCCGTCATCCCTCTGCGTCCTCGGATACTGTCCTCCCGGTGGCACGTTAGTGTCTGCGTCAGTGACAGCCACATCCCTGCGCTCACACCCTCCCCCCACCAAGTGAACCAGTGCCGAGTAACCGTGTCACCAGGGTCAGCTGCCCTCGTGGGGCATCCACATGTTATCTCCATAGCGTCCAGGGTACTTCTGGGCAGTTGGCAGCCATTAAGGTTAGAGCAGCCAGGGCTGGAGCAGTGTGTCTGTAAGTTGCTTCGTTCATTTATTCTCTCACTTACTTGATAAGTGAGAGATTGAGCATCTCTGTGCATGGATTGAGCATCTCCTGTGTGCTTGGCCTCGTGCTAGGTCTTGGTGATGAATGAGACACAAGTCCTTATCCTCATGGAGCTGAAATTCTAATGGAGGGGCTGGATAACAGAAATGTGAGCAGGCAGTTACGCGGTTTCAGCTGTGGCTAAATGCAAAGAAGGTGAACCCAGGCACTGTGGTCTTTGGGGACAGGCGGTAGTGATCAGGGGAGGCCTGGGAGCCACACAGGGTCACTTCCTCAAAGGGTGTGACTGTGTCTTCAGAGTTTTATGTTACCTTCTCTATCTCTTGCATGGCATGGTCTCCACATTAGAGTTTTTGGTTGTGATCATAGAGTTTCTGTGGCAACAGAGTCAGTGAATAATAAAAGATCATGAAAGACAATTAGTCTTCAGGTCAGATAGCTTCCAAGCTGGGGGCCTGCATAGCCACTGATGCTAAGCTCCAGGGATTGGGTGTCTCTGCACACTACTCTAATAGCCCTGCAGTGGGCTTGGGGGTTGACTGTTAAATCAGAAACAAGTGCTGTATCTTAAGACAGTACCACAGATTTTCCTCTCTAAGCTAGGAAATTATTCTCTGGGCAAGGTAATCATTGATCTTAATGATGTATAAATAAAGCGATCAGCTTTTGGTTAATTATGCAAGAGACCCCGTTATTCTTGTCTTTCCTGCATTCCTTTGGGGCTCCTGTGAACTTTCTGCATATATTTTATAAATGAAGAAGCTCATTCATCTGCAGATTTAGGAGTTGGATTAGATATTTCTTTGGTCCTTTCTCTTTCTAACAAGCAGCAGAGTTACCTGAATTTATTTTTGAGAGCATCCTTTGCATCAAACACTTAGTCCATGGTACAAGCACATGTGAGGAGTGTACCCTTCCCTCCAGAAGAATGGACCATGGGACAGTCAAAATCTGGAGATGAGAAGACAGATCAGTGTGAACAGGAGTGGAGGGAGGTTTCCAGAAGGAAGGGGTTCTTGGGTGGATTTTTGAAGAGGAAAGAGGACAGGAAGGGAGAATATTCCAAATAAGGAAATAATTTATGTATAACATGGAGGGCAGCTTCCCTGCACTGATAGAGGATGTGGAGATGGGACTGAAGTCATGATGTTGGGGAGGTATTCACAGTAACTCAGGGCTGCTCACAGTATCTAGACTGTTCGTCACAGGGTTAGGTAAACAGAGCCTCACTTACCAGAAATACAGCTGAGGGCCCTTCCAGTTTGAGAGAGAGTGTTCCTCCTCCTGAGCACAGCTGACAGCCTTGGACGTTGTACATAAAACAGACCTAAGAAGACCTGAATGGTAGCTGGAAGAAGGCACGCAGACTAGGGACCTCAGGACTCCGGGAACAGCACGGAAGACACAAGTGGAAGTCACTTGTCATGCTGAGAACCAGGAAAATCAGCCTGAGTGAGAAAGAAAAGTAGCCTACGTGCCAACAGAAGGATGACATAGATGTTGGGATTATAGGGTAGAGATTTTTCAAACAACCATCATAAAAATGTGTTAGCGATCAATTACAAACCCACTCGAAACAAATAAAAAATAGAAAGTCTCAAGCCAAGATATCAAAAGTTTCAGGAAAGATACGGAAGCTATCAGGAAGACTCAAATGACAATTTTAGGATGTAAAATGCAATAACTGAATGAGAAAGCCCCTGGGTGGACCCAGTCAGCTGAGTGGAGTTGACAGAGTCAGTGAATGCGAGCAGTGGAACAGCAGAGATTGCCCAGGAAAGAGCAGGCTAAAAAGTTAAAAGCCAGAGCCACAGGGAAGCTGTGAGACTTAGCAGTGTAGAAACTTCCATCCTTATGCATGTTCAGGCATCGAAGTTTCCTTTCCTGAAAATTCTGTTTCCCTCTCAGAAGTTTGGAAATGTTTTTCTTATTTATTCTAGAGCTTACTGCTAAGTGTGTAGCTACTGAAACATGTTTTAAATGTATACCTGTTGGGAGTATAAATCAATGGTAGAGCATTTGATTGCGGATCAAGAGGTTCCCAGTTCAAATCCGGGTGACCCCTCTAAGGTCTAAATTTGGGCTTCCCTTGTGGCTCAGCTGGTAAAGAATCCACCTGCAATGTGGGAGACCTGGGTTTGATCCCTGGGTTGGGAAGATCCCCTGGAGAAGGGAAAGTCTACCCACTCCAGTATTCTGGCCTGGAGAGTTCCATGGACTGTATAGTTTGGGGTTGCAAAGATTTGGACACGACTGAGCAACTTTCACTTCACTTCATGAGGCTATTTGAAACCAGATGTCAGAGAACATTTAATGGTGATGTCAGTGCTGTGGGCACAAGAGGTGAAGACCTTCATGGGTCCAGATTATGACCAACAGGCACCCCACTCCAGTACTCTTGCCTGGAAAATCCCATGGACGGAAGAGCCTGGTAGGCTGCAGTCCATGGGGTCGCTGAGTCGGACACGACTGAACAACTTCACTTCCACTTTTCACTTTCATGCATTGGAGAAGGAAATGGCAACTGACTCCAGTGTTCTTGCCTGGAGAATCCCAGGGATGGGGGAGCCTGGTGGGCTGCCGTCTATGGGGTCGCACAGAGTCGGACACAACTGATACAAATTAGCAGCAGCAGCAACTCTTTACTTCTTCTGTCCTTCTCTGAACCACAACATTAAGAAATACTTTTATCCCTGCCGGTCACTTCTAACAAAAAGTACGAGTTTGGTCACATTGGTGGCATTTCCAGCGCATATTGCTTTTGATTTTCTGTGCAATGTCTCCTTGTTGGAGATGCTGGAGAATGCTGCCTGCTGAGGGGACAGGAGATGGCTGGAGTCTGAGGACTGGGGGTTGAGAGGCCTGGGCTGGCAGCCCCCAGTCCTGGGACACCTAAAGGCAGTGCTGAAGTCCATCAGTGTGTGGGGATGTGGTAGCAAGCGCATCATCAGGGAGAGCTGGCATGCCTTACCCAAGGATGTTAGGTTAGTGGGGGTGCAACCAGGATTCAGACCTCAGTCTTTTGACCCCAAAGCCTGAGCATTAGCAAAGCCCTGCTGTGTGTTAACTTTGAGGGTAGGGATGGTTCAGGTGACTTTAAAAATCTAATATTCCTAGAGATTATTTGGTTTTTCTACTTTATAAAAATATTGCTGTAACTAAAATCTGTTCTACTATTCTGAATTCAGAGCCATTTAAACTTGTCTTCCATAAATCCGTTTTTCCTCTTTTAGTTTTTGCCAGTGGATTGCAAGATCACAAAATGGGGGCTGCATCCCAGCTTCCCTTCAATTTGGAAATTTCTATACCTCCTCTTACTCCTCCTGGCCTTGGGTATTTTAACCAGGCAAAGTGTAAACCATTTTAATCTCACAGGACTGTGATGCTGTTTCTGGGGCACAAACTCCTGTAAGTATAGGAGTGCAAGCACACCTGCCCCCTGCCACGTCAGAAGTCAGGAGGCAGGATTTTCTGTGGTTTTTATAGAAATTGACAAGCCAATCCTAAAATTCACATGGAAATTCAAAGGACCCGGCTAAGACAACCGTGAAAAGGAGAATGATATTGGAAGACTCATACTTCCTGATTTCAAAACTTAACGGCAAAGCTACAGTAATCAAGACAGTGTGGTGCTGACATAGAGACAGACACATAGATCACTGGGATCGAATCAAAAGTCCAGAAATAAACCTTTACGTCTGCAATCAACTGATTTTCAACAAGAGTGCGAGGACAAGTTAACAAAGAATAGTTTTTCAGCAAATGGCACTGGAAAATTGGACATCCACATCCAAAAGAATGAAGCTGAACTCTTACTTCTCATCAGACACAAAAATTAACCCAAACTCATAGATCTGCATGTAGGAATGAAACTATATAACTCCTAGAAGAACATGTAGGAGTAAACCTCTGTAAACTTGGGTTAGGCAGAGTCTTATTTGATACACCAAAAACACAAGTGACAAGGAAAAAAGATTTCATCAAAATTAAAAAATTTTGTGCTTCAAAGGACACTGTCAAAAAAGTAAAATGGCCACCCATAGGATGGGAAAAATATGTAAAAATCACATACATGATAAGGAACTTCATGTATCCCAGGGTACATAAATAACTCTTATCACAGTTCAATAATTTAAAAAGAAATAAATATACGAATTAAAAAAGGAGCAAAGACACAAAAGACATTTCTCCAAAGACTGAAAAATAGTAGAAAAGCACATGAACATATCTGTAACATTGTTAGTTTTTAGGGCAGTGCAAACCAGAACCACAGTGAGATAGTGCTTCACATTCCTGGGATGGCTATGATGAAGTTAAAGGAAAGAAATGGGAAATAAAAGTGTTGGTAAGGATGCGGGGAGATTGGTGCCATCATACCCTGCTGCTGACACTGGAAAAATGCAGCAGTTCCTCAAAAAGCTAGATATGGCATTACCCTATAGCCCAGCAATCCCACTTCTAGGTGTGTACCCCGAAGAACTGGAAACATGTTCACACAAAAACTTGTACACACCATGTTCATAGAAGCACCTGTACATATTAACCAAAAAGTGAGACAGACCCAAATGTCCATTAGGTGATGAACAGACAAAGATGTGGTTGATGTACACAAATGATGTACATACCGTCTTCTCCCAGAAGAAGAGGACATGACGTGGGGACACGTACTCAACCTGGAGGAATTAACATCACGTGATGCCAAGTCAGGGAACCCTGTCACAGCGGATTCCAGACTGTATGATTCCGTCTACACAAAATGTCCAGAATAGGCAAATCTGTCGACCCAGACCTTGGATCCGTGGTTGCTGGGGCCTCAGGGAAGGTGTGAGTGTAGTGATCAGGAGTGGGGTTATTTGTGGAGAGGGAGGGGAGAGGTGATGGAAATATTCTAACACACAGTGCTGATTATGACACAACTGTGATCGTACTAAAAGCCACCAAGTTCTGTCTTTAAGAGGTTGAATTGTATGGAATATGAATTATATCTCAGTAAAGCTATGTTGTATGATGTCTACATGTTTTTTGTTGTTGCTGTTTTGGTGTTCAGTTGATAAGTTGTGAAGGACTTTTGTGGCCCCATGGCCTGTCATGGGGGTCCCGGAGTTGGATGCAGCTGAGCACACAAACACAAAAGCTGTGTTGTGTATGCTGCATGCTCACTCAGAAATCCATCGGCAGGACGGCCAAACAAAGAACCATCCCTCCTGCTTCCTCCTCTAGGGAGACATGGCATTGCCCTGGGATGTGGGATGCAGTCCCTTCTCTGCTGTGGGCACTGTGTTCCCGAAAACCCCATTTGCAAAGTAATTCTTGCTTTAGAACCTTTAAACTTCAAGGAAAAACAGAGTTAGAGGGTTTGAATTCATGAATCATCCTATTTTTAGGTTCAATAAAATGAACACAAAATATGAAACAGACTAGTAGTATTTGATATGTATTAACTGATAATAATGAGCATTGTCAAATTAATTTCCTTTTTTATTCTCCTGCTTATTTAAAACCTGTCAGGGTGCTTCCCACGTGGTTTCTAGGAGATGTATGTGGTTTTGTGTTGCTCTCTTACACATGGTATAGGCATAAAGAGATGTGTTTTGCCCATGTGTTCTTCTGTCCAAATGTTTGCACCTTCTGATGTTATGGCCCTGAGTCATTGACAGCTCTGAGGCCTTTCCCTGGCCCCAGGAGTCTCAGAGCACTTTGGATGCTTCCTCGGTCAGAGTCTTCATAATCTGTATTTAATCGCTCAGCTCTATTTCAGAGCCCCTCCTCAGCTTAGAATATAGTAAACATTTTCTGTGTCAGACCCAGGATGAATGCAGTCCAGCCCTGGAGCTCAGGGTCTGATCTTCACGGGACTTGAGGCTGAGCCACTCCTGCAGGCCTGGGAGGGCATGGTGGGAGGTGGGGGGCGAGGACGCTGGGGTCCTTCCCGAGCCGTCCTCACCTCCTTTCCCCGCCCAGGCCCCAGTGCCTTCCTCTAGTTAAACGCTGCGGAAAGACTGGAGTCCTCCTGAAAGGGAGGGGCAGCTGCGCTGACAGATGACACTGTGCTTGTTCCCTGTTCTTGGATTTGCGAACTCGTCTTCAGTGGGCCAGGAGCACGGTAACTGAACACTGTGAACGGTTTCACATAGACATCTCACCGCATGATTTTCAGAAATCACCTTAGGGAAATCAAGGGGGTGGCAAAAACAGCCAGTGGGCAGCATCCTGGGACACCACCCTCAGGGGCCGGGGCTAAGTCTTTCTGAGACTGTTTCTCAGGAATTCTTCCAGGGCCCAGCTTGTACCCCGGGGCCGAGGGCTGCTCCCACTGGAGAATCACCCTCTTACAAGAAGGATGCAGGGTGCAGGGGGCCAGGCGCTGAGGTCCGCTGTGCGTTTCCTCTTGACATGTATGCACCTCCCAAACCGGGGCCCCTGCCACCCCCAGGGGCTGAGGTCCTGCAGTGGGACCAGGCCATCTCCTCTCAGGACGCACCTCCCGGACCACTCAGGTTTCCCAGGCGCATGCACTTCCTGTCAGCACGAGTCTCCGCTCGGCTCTCCTCTTCACTGCTGCCCTTCTGCCAGGTCCACTGGTCAAAACCAGCCCGGGCATAACCACCTGTGGAAGTCTTTCCTTCTTTCCTGATCACCGCCCCCACCGCCTCCGCGCCGCCAGCATCTTGTTCCTCCCGACTCGCAGGGTCTCAGGGCCCTCTGCCAAGCCTGCCCTCCCAGTTTTATGTGTGCCCGCGGTCTGGTCTTCAGGCTCTGCGAGGTCAAGGTCCTGGCTGTCTCGCCACTCCTGGCACCTTGCCCCGGCACTGCGCATTGAATGTCGTGTGGGTGGCCCAGGAACGCGCTGGTGATGAGGAGAGACCACCCTGCCCCTTGCTGGGGAAACAGCCCCCGACCAGGCTCCCGGGGGGGTGTTTGGGTGCTTGAATTGTACTCAGTGGGCCTGTGGTAGTGAAAGAAAGAAAACTATAACACAGATTCTCAAGCAGAGCTTGAATCCACTCTGTTCCTTTTGTCTGTAACAGTGATAATTGCTGAGCTAACACATCGGGCGCAGGGGATCTGCGTTCTAGTCTGCCCTGCATCCCCCATTGCGCCTGAGATCTCAGCAAAAGCCCTGCTCTCCACCGCGCGCCCTGCCCCCCGCGCCATCCTCATCCTCCAGGTGCAGAGTTGACTGGTGTCAGAGGCTTCCTGCAACTCACAGATCTCCTGAATCAGGGAGAGAGGAGTGGATTACTGCCCTTCAGAGAACCCCGGAGTCCTGGGTGTGAGGCTGCTCTGAGGGGACTTACCTGGCGGGCGGGGGCCCACCTGGAGCCGTGGTTCTTCTGACTGCACTCAGGCCTCCTTCCGTCCAGGTCAGGCTTCACTCGAGCTGCATCCCAGCCTGCTTCCCCAGCAGCCCTGCCAGGCTCAATTCACAGCTCTTTCCCTGGTTAAAATCCATCTGTCATCAAAACCCACTCTCACTCTGTGAGCCGTCCCTTCGCACTAGCTGATGGTGGGATTTGAGCCCACCTGCCCCGCTTTCAGGGTGCTCTGGGAGGCCTAGGGCTCCTCCCTGGCTGAGCCTTGCCTGGGTCACACTCTATAAAGCATACGTCATCTTCTGGGCTGTTCTGTTAGAGTATAACCCGGCAGAGTAGGGAACTGAAGAAAAGGAAAGGGACTCTGAAATCTGCTTTCCTGCTTCTTCCTACTTAGGTAACCAAGGAGAACAGAAATCACCTTTTGCCAGAGATTGTGACCCACGTGCAGAGCAGCCAGAAGTGAAGAAGACATGTCACCGCTTCTCTGCACGTGCAGACATTTCTTCGAGAGGAGCCCCAGTGCCCTACCCGACCAGGTTTATGCCTTTGGTTTACGAAACCTTGGAGGCTTTTCCAAAGAGAGCCTGACAGCTGTTTTCCATAAAATGTTTTAAAATATCAAATTAGCCTTAATGCTGGATTGACTCTACAAGATTAACAATCCACTGTGGTGTATTTATGCTGAGAGATTTCTGTTTATTTCCTCTTGCAGTTGTGCATATGATTTGGGTAAATTATGAAAGAAGAAATGGTTTTCAGAGTATTAGATGGAATTTGCCCCCATTGAAGTTTATAAATGTGTTCAGGGGAGGCGGGTGGGGAGGAGTTCACTGCCTGATCATTTTGGCATGTCAGGAAAATTAAACCCCTCCCCGGGAGCAGCTGCAGCCTCCTGCAACTTGGAGTGATAACAGTTATTTGATTTTAAGAAAATCAGTATTTCAGGAAAAGCCATTTTCGGTCCTTCCCTGCCCACATCTTTGGCTGTTTATCTGTTTGCTTATCGCTTAATAAAATAAAGAGAAATGTGATGGCTGCAGGCATGTGGGTCCTGATGCGGGAGAGATGAGCAGCCTGTAGAAATGTTGGTAGCGCTTGGTACTCAGCAGGGGGTCAGATCAGAGCCCCACTTGGGCCCCGTTCATCCAGACACGTTCACAAACTTTTCTGGGCCCCGTTTCCCTTCCAGAAAAGGGGTGAGTGAGTGCCACCAGAGGAGGGCTGCCCGGCCTGAAGGAAGCCACCCTCGGTCTCCACCCGGTCCCCGGGGAGTGGCCAGGGCCAGAGCCGGGGCTGTCGGGGAGAAGGCTGCAGAGACGAGGTTCGGCCCCAGCAGGGCCCCGTGGGCCAGACCATTGCACCCAGAGCTCACAGAGGGTGAGAGTTGCTCTCCCAGGGGTGACGGTGCTCAAGCGATAGACATTTCAGTGTCTTTGAATTGCCAGTATGTTTTTTTAGCCTTAGCCACAGTGCCAGCTGGTGCTATTGCTGGGAGTATGCATGAATGTGACCACTGACCCATTTGGGCATGTGTAGAGCGAGGAGCCTGGCAAAGTGGGCCCTGGGACAGCAGACAGTGCAGAAAACACTGGCATCTAAACCGAGATGACAGCTTACAGCCTGTGACCGGCTCTCAGGATGGCCTGTCTGCCCCATGGTGGCTCTCTGAAGCCTGGTCTGCACTGGCCCAGGCTCTGCAGGGTCACACCTAGAAAGGGTCTCCCAGATTATTAGCAGACGCCAGGCTGAGGGTGTGGGCATCCCACCCTCCCTGCCTGGGCGACTCGTCCTGGAGGCTCTGCTGTGACATCCGACAGGCGGGCTATGACAGGAGCTTCACTCAGTGGGGCCAGAGGGCACAGCTCAGCGTGGTCTGCGAGCTCGGTGCACTGGGGTGGCTGCTGCTCTGAAGCAGGTAGAGGCTTCTCAGGTGCAGGGGCCCCATTCCTGTGATAAATCTACTCCCCTTCAGGTTCCACAGCCCTGGATGAGGCCCCCGCAGCCCTCAGCACCAGCAAAGAGGGAGGCAGGCTGAGTAGGTCTCGGCCCCACGCCCCCAACACCCTGGCCTGGGGCGCAGGCTGCCCTCTGGGGGCTCCTGCCCCAGCAGGAAGCAGCCTTCACCGGCACCCCTAGCCAGGGACTCTGGCCGTGAGTAGAAGGGGACATTTTCCAAAGGAAACCAACACAACGTTATAAATCACCCATATGCCAGTAAAAATTATTTTTAAAAGTATCCAAAGTTTAAAAAAAAAAAACAGAAACAAGGGGGGAGAAAGGAAAAGGAGAGCTTAAGAGCCAAGGCCAGATGTGCTTCAGGAGGGGGAGCGTCGGGGTCTCCTCGCATCATGGCCCTGGGCAGTTGCTGGTGGGGGAGCTCCTGCACTCTTGCTCGTGATGGCCCTGGCAGGAAAGGATTTGAGCCCAAGTCTGAGTGTCTCTTCCCATAACCCCCCACGTGCTCCCTTACCCGGGAATTCAGGTTGAACTCTAATCCCCCATGTGATGATATTAGGAGGTGGGGCCTTTGGATGTGATTAGGTCATGAGGGCAGGGTCATCATGAAGGGGATTAGTGCTCTTGAAAAAGAGGCCCCAGAGAGCTCCCTCACACCTGCTGCCATGTGAGGAAGTGGGTCTCACCAGATACTGAATCTGCTAACAATGTGATCTTGGGCTTCCCAGCCTTCCAACTGTGAGTAATATTTGTTGTTTAAGGCTCCAGCCTGTGGTATCAGATAAAATGAATTCACAAATAACTGCAACTCAGGGCCAAGCATGCGCAGTCTGTAGAAACAACGTTCTGCTGAGGTTAAAGAGGGAAGAGAGGGCAGGACACGTGAGGCTCACACACTCGCTGAGCACATCTGTGTGGACCACTGAGGTGAGGGCTCCCGGAGAGGAGGGGTGTGGGGGCCACTGAGATCAGGAATCCTCTTACACCTGAGTTTGAAATGCCTGCTATTCAAATAAATCCAGGTGCCCAGCATTGCTGTGTGTGAGTCCAGACTTCAAGGGGGAGTTCACTCTGAAAAGCACAGAGTGGACGTGTGCAGAGCTCATGTGAAGAGCCCAAGATGGAAGACATGGTCGGACAGGACGCGGCAGAACTGACGTGGAGGCCGGGCCTGCCCAACTGTTCTCTCTCCCTCCCTGTAGCAGCTGCTGCACACCCAGTATTTTAAAAGTGGGACTTTCTTTGTCTGTTGTTGGTCATGCCAAGGGGCTCGTGGAATCTTTGTTTCCCAACCAGGGATCATACCCAGGACAGAGGTAGTGAGAGTGCTGAGTCTAACCACTGGGCAACCAGGGAATTCCCCAAAAGAGTTATCTTTTTATCTCTGAATAAGCACATGTTAGGGAGATGGTCCTCTAATTCACTAAATATGATCTCTATCGTGGCTGCCATGAAGAGGGCCCCGTAATGCTGTAAGTCCGTTAAGTTACAGGGGTAAGGGGCGATGCCCCTGGGAAGGTGGGATGGACTTGCCCCTCTCTCTCTTCCATCTGTGTCTGTGTTTGTGGAATGCTGTGTCTGGGAAGATCAGATGGAGGCAGGCCTGATGGCAAGGGCTTGTGACTTGGGACAGAACAGTAGGAAAGTGGAGGAGGCTTGAGGAGAGTTGAGGGAATAGGCCTTGTGATGCCTCTTTCATGGACCAAGAGAAGTCCGCACATCTTAGAAACATCTTAACAATCTTAGAAACGGCCTGCCAGGCAGATGGTTTTAACACACAGTACAGATTGTAGACTCCGTAATTCCAGAATAGCCACATGATTCATATAAAACCCAGCACTATGGTCTATGTTATCTTTAAAAGAGAAGCAATTTTGTTCAGCATTCAAATGTAGAAAATAACTCTTAGCTCAAGTCCAGTAGGACATTTGAATAACTCCAGTAGGAAATGTCACCTTTGGAAAATTTCTTCTAAATGGGGGCTAATAATACAGTATTTTGCAAGGGGTACACTCTGATAAACAGTTGATAGGCTGAAGATGAGATTAATGAGCTCATGAGTTGTAAATATAAAAGTTGTTTACAACACTTAAAAAAAACACATGACTGAGTTGTTGACAGCCCCGAAGAGTCCTGGAGGGAGGGCAGCCGTGATCCCAGCTGTGGGTCCATGTGCACACACATTCAGCGTGCACACGCAGGCAGCTTTCCTGCTGTAGAAAGTGCAGGGCATGGCAGCCCTGCCTGAGGAGTCTGGCCCTGAAGTGGGTAGACCACATCTTTCCTCCTCCCGCTGGCCCCCCAAAAGCTGCCAGAGAACCAGGATAATAAGCAATAGACCCAGCGGTTGAAGCAGCAGCTCATGAATCTCGTGGAACAAGATGCAGGCATAGCAGGGATGCGCTTGCCTCCCACCTGCATCACCCTGTCCCTATAGACTGGTTTCCCAGCTCTTTGAGCAGCTCTCACCTTCTCTGAAAGCCATGCCTCTGCTTACTTCTAGAGGCCCAAGGAACACCCAGGCTGAATGCTGCTGGGCGTGGGTCATTTTCTTACCTAATTCAAGTGACCACCCTAATATAGGGAAGCCGCCCTTTAGTGCCGAGGGCTTGGTTGCCAAGTTGCCCAAGAGAATTTCAGGAACTGCCAGCCAAGAGCCAACTTAAAGAACTGTGCTGAGGTTATTTCAGCTGTTCTTTAGACAGACATCTGCAAATCCATCAGAAATAAGAAAAATGCACCTCTAGGGATCACTGATTTGAGAATGCACTCTGTTTCTGATGATAGACTCTACTGTTATCAATTGCTAATTCTTACCAAACAGTATTACCATCTACTTCCAAGAGATAAGGAATTCTCTACAGTACCATCCCCTCTGCCTACACTTCCAATCGCAAATACCTTTAAGAAATTTGTGTGACTGCTTTCAAATTGAGTATCTCTAACTATTGTCTTTCCAAAAGGGATGCCTCATCAGGTCAGTGATGGATATTTCCATGGATCCTGTTCTGATACCCCTTCCCTCCTCACAGCAGCAAGAAGTCACATTTCTGCTGTACCTGTTGGGACTCTTAAGATGAGAAAAACTGTCTCAGAATTTGCCTACAACATTGTAAATCAACTATACTTCAATTTAAAAAGTAATTAAAAAAAGAATCTGAAGAATAATATACATATAACTGAATCACTTTTTCGTACACCTGAAACTAACACAACATTGTAAATTATACTTTGTAAAAAACAAATTAAAAAAATAATTTGCCTAAATGTCATTCTTACAGTGAAGGATCTTTTTTTTTTTTTTAAATAAATACAGTTTAGTAGAACTCAAACAACCGGACACAGCAATAACTGTAAACATTTTAATTCCAAAAACAAAGTATGTGCAAATGTCCTGTGACACATTAAGGATTGCTTGGCTTGGAAACAATATGCATTCCTGGGAAGCACACAGGAATGCCAGGAGAGATGGGGCCTGGCTTCCTGCAGGAAGTTGCTGTTATTGCAGTTAGCATCATTCCTAGGTGGCTCTCTGTGGCCTGCCTTGACTAAACTTCTACACGCACATTGCTGGGGGCATTTGGCTCCTTTCACAGGGTGTTTTGGACGTGACTGCATGCACTGTCACGATTTTTGCAGTAAAGCTGTCACTGGTTTAAATTTAACATCTGCATAAATATTATCAAGAAGTGAGATGTTTACACATAGATTGAACATCAGTGCATTGGACCAGCTCATGGTGTGATACGCACTGTTGTCTGCTTCTTTTTCACGGTAACAGTGAGTGTAAAATGCCAGTTGTTTAGCATGCAGCTGTCTTCTTATCATCAGGGCAGGAAGGACTTATGTGCTCCGCTTGAGTTGTCTTAAGATGTTACATGGCTTTTGTTTGAATTGTCCAGTCCTGGGAAGGGTGCCTCCCACATCCCACCACTCGGGCCACAAGAGTCAAAGGAGAGGGAGACCTGGTGTCAAGATTTGTTTTTATCACGTGAGAGATTTTTCAAGAACCTGAGATCGAGTTGCTCTATTTTCTACACAGCATTCATTTTTCCGTAGGACACATCTCCTGGCTCAAACTCTGTGCTCTGTTTGGTTCGGGGAGTGCAAGGGGGAAGCCAGGGGGTTTGGTCCTTCCCCAACACCACGGCTCCTCTGGCGCGAACTCAGCTACTGCTCGTCGGAAGCACTCTGCTGGGAGGCCGTGTCGTCCAGGCCCATGTCCTCCTGGCTCGCTCTTCTGCACATCACCCCCAGGTTCTCGGCCACGCGGTGATCTCGGAGCAGCCCCTGCTCAGTGACCTCCGAGTGTTCGCCAGGCTCAGAGAAGTGCTTCCGAAGAGAAAAGAGAAGCGAGTTTTATGCTCAGCCAAGCTGATCACCTCCCCTGATGACTATCTCACAGCTGCAGGTGCCGGCTGGTAGTGTGGCAGGGATACGGGGTCAGAGTCTAAGGTAAAGTACAGTTACAGAGGACCAAAGGCAGCTGGACTTGAGGAAGGGCCATGCAGTCCCAGTCACGAGTCTAATACAGTGAGAGGGGTGCCTCTACACACAGGGACCTTTTCTTGGGTAATCTGCAAAGAGATGACCTTGGGTAAAAAGTCATTTGTGAGCCGGGATTTTCTGAGTTTGGGTCAATGTCACTTCATATACACAGCCCTGCACCCCTGCTAAATCCTGCAGGTTTAATCTGAAACAGTAATACCGAGGCTTTTTTTATTCTGGCTGAATGTGGTCCCAAAGACTCAGCCATCCTTGTGGGAGAGAGGGAGAGAGAATTTTCCAGAATCCCAGAACTGCACCCACAGATTGTCATAAACACATACTGGGGGTGGCAGAAAGGTATGCATTGTTATTGAGGAATTGAGAAAAAGGGAAGGAGATTTGTTCACATTTAGTTGTCTAACTAAACTGGGTTAAACTCCTGAAGTAACCTGGGGCTCCAGGGTGCTCATAACCCCGCCCTGAAGGCTGCAACCCCCAGGCTCTTAGGGCAGGTCACACTGGCCCTGGCTTCAAGGGGACTGGGGTGCCACTGTATGGCTTCTGGGGGAGGAGAGGAAGGGCCAGGCCCCCATCATCCACCTCCAAACACCCACACCCGGAACCACAGGCCGGCGGGCTGTGACTCAGCTCCACTGCAGACAGGACAGTGACAAATGTTCAAATGGAACTGCAGGCATCCAAGCTGGTGCTGGCTTTTGCCTTAAGGTCTCCTATTCTTCCCCTACAGAAGAGAAAGGCTGGGCATTTATGTGTATACATACTTGTGATGCTCAGGGATTCATCCAATGCCAGCTAGCTAGGGATTCTAGATACCTAACGATTTATTTGGGTGAAGTCCTCAAAACTCTTAACATTTAATTGCATAAAGCAGAAGGCCATCTCAGCAGCTTCACAATGAAATCTAGTGACGAGGAATCAGTGAGGATCTGCCCACCAGGCTGGTGTACATATGTCCTTTCCTCTCTCTCCAGCCAGAGGAATGTGAAAGGAGAAGGACTACAACGGGTCCTTTAACCTGGGCCCATGGAAGCCTGCCCCCACAGCCCCGGTTCAGGGCGGAGGGGACTCTGCCTTCGGGCTCCCTGCAATAACGCCTGCTCAGGGGCCACTACTACAGGACCGGGGTGATGTCTCCTGTCGGCTTCAGAGCGCATACATTCCAGCTCCTATCTCACCACTAGTCTTACTCTGCAAACGCTACGGGGGAGGTGACGGGAGCCTGCAGGAGGGAGCCCGGGTCCTCGGGCCAGGAGCCCTCCCCGCCCCCTAGCCCCTCACCCGTGTGGACTGGCTGGCGGCCCTTGCCGAGGGGCCCAAGGCAATGTTCACGCTGCTGGAAGACTGGGTGTCACTGGTGTTGCCCCCCTCGGCAGCAGACAGCCCGGAAATGACCAGCGCGCTGGAGAAGCTCCTCTTGCCAAACAGGAAGCTGAGGGTGGAGCTGGTGGACGAGCCCAGGCTGGACCTGAGGAGGGCCTCGGCCCGCTCTCGGACGCTCAGGGGGCCGGCGGCAGGGGCGGCTGGGGGCTGCGAGTGCAGCGACGCGGCCGAGGGGCACAGGGACAGCCGGCTGCCCGAGCGCCGCGGCGCCAGCTCGTGGACCGACGTGGACGTCTGCAGGAAGGTCGGGCGGCTGCCCGCCACCGGGCCGCAGGCGCGCGGGACGGGCGGCGTTTGGCTTAAGGCCCTGTGGGCCTGGGCGGACTGACTCCTGCCTTTTCTCCTGCCTTTAAAAGAAAGCAGAGCAAAACAGATAAACAGCAAGGCCCTACTGTACAGCCCAGGGAACTCTTCTCAATGCTCTATAATAACCTATATGGGAAAAGAATCCGAGAAAGCACATATATATAAGTGAAAGTGAAGTTGCTCTGTCATGTCCGACTCTTTGCGACCCCATGGACTGTAGCCTACCAGGCTCCTCAGTCCATGGAATTTTCCAGGCAAGAGTACTGAAGTGGGTTGCCATTGACTTCTCCAAGGGATCTTCCCGACCCAGGGATCAAACCCTGATCTCCCGCATTGCAGGCAGATGCTTTACCGTCTGAGCTACCAGGGAAGCCCAATATGTTTGTATATATGTTTGGGCTTCCCAGGTGGTAAAGAATCCGCCTGCCAATGCAAGAGACACGAGACATGGGTTCGATCCCTGGGTCAGAAAAATTCCCTGGAGGAGGAAATGGAAACCTACTCTAGTATCCTTGCCTGGAAAATTCCATGGACAGAGGAGCCTGGTGGGCTACATACAGTCCATAGGATGGAAAAGAGTCAGACACAACTGAGCGCGCGTGCACACACACACACGCACACGTGCACACATACGCGCACGCGCGCGCACGCACGCACACACACGCACAGAGTATGTATGTACAACTGCATCACTTTGCTGTACACCTGAAATTGACACGGCATTATAAATCAACTATAAATTTAAAAACCCATAAGACAGGGAATTAAAGAGAAAGAAGGGGAAAGCAGGAGCATTCAAAAGGCCATTCATCTAGTTAACCAGAGCTTTCTAAAATGGGAAATTGAGAAAAAGCAAGCAGGCCAGACCAGGTTGCCATGGCAGGTTGTCCCTAACGTCAGCATCTTCGAGGTGAGGTGGGAGGCCTGCTCTGGAACCCCAGAGAGCCAGGTTGTCCCCTGCCTTCTGGGCCGGGACGGAGGGCTGGGAGCCCAGGCCAGGCCTCCACTAAGGCCTGAGAACTGAAGGGTGGGGTGTGGGCATTGCTGTGGGGAGCAGCAGCCGGGGGTATGGACCTGTCCAATTTGCCCGGCTTCTCCTGGCTTTCACACCAAAGTCTCATGTCCCTGGAAGCATGAGGATAAACACTCAGGTTTAGATCATTTGTAGTTGCCTTCAAAAAGGGATGTTAAAAAAAAAAAAAGGGTTGAGCCACACATACTGTGGCCTTTATTTTCTAAAAAGCTTTCCCTTAAGATCAAGGTCTTTGAGAGGAAGCCCTCCTCAGGCTCACAGGGTCACCCAGGTTCCCATGTCTGTCTGGGCTCCCAGTGGACTGGAGGAGCTCCCAGCTCCCTTTGGCCAGCCATCCTTCCCCTCAGGGGGTCACTCCCGGCCTAGCTCTTGCTGAGAATCATTGAAACAAGGCCATTTTGACACAAGGGACTGGACTGCCCAAGGATTTGGTCCAGGCACATCTCTGGGGGCTGTGAGTGGGGAGGCTTTAAAGTGCCAGACCCACCTCTGCAGCTATAGAGACCAGGCCGGTGGAGGAAGGCTTGTGCTTGCTGGAATGCTGAATTCCTTAACTTAATCACCAGGTGGTTTAGTCGTTAAGTCTGACTCTTTTGATCCCATGCACTATGCACTATGCCCTCCAGACTCCTCTGTCCATGGGATTCTCCAGGCAAGACTACTGGAGTGGGTTGCCATTTCCTTCTCCAGGAAATCTTCCTGATCCAGGAATGGAACCCAGCTCTCCTGCATTGCAGGCTGATCCTTTACCAACTGAGCTACAAGGGAAGCCCAGAGGGTCTAATTTTGAAATATTATTTTAACAACAAGGTCTTACTGTATAACACAGAGAACTATAGTCAGTGTCCTATGATAAACCATAATGGAAAAGACTAGAAAAAAAAAGAATGTACAATGTATAACTGAATCACTTTGCTGTATGTAGAGCAGAAATTAACACAACACTATTAATCAACTATACTTAAATTTTTAAAATTTTTAAATGAATAATAAATATTATTTTGAAGGGAAGAGCTAGTGATGTCCAAGTGCTATCAGTTGCCCTACTCACAAGTCTCCTGAAATGGCTCAGTTACATTCAATTAGTACAAATAGAGAGGGCTGTGGGTGGGTACACTCAAGGATTGTCAACTCATCCCAAGTTCCCAAATTATTAACAGGGAATCTGGTGATGCTGAAATGTTTATATTTGTCCATGGGAACACATGACTGACACATTTTAATTAAAAAAAAATTTATTAGAGTATAGTTGATTTACATGGGCTTCCCAGATGGCGCAGTGGTAAAGAATCCACCTGCCAATGCAGGAGATGCGGGAGATGAGGGTTTGATCCCGGGGTCAGGAAGATCCCCTGGAGGAGGAAATGGCAACCCACTCCAGTATTCTTGCTGGTAAAATCCCACAACAGAGGAACCTAGTGGGCTACAGTCCATGGGATCGCAGAGTCAGAGCTGACTAAGCAACTGAGCAGACACATAGTTGTTACAACTTTGTGTTAGCTTCAGGCGCACAGCAAAGTTGCTCCGTTATACACATACACACATCCACTCTTTTTAAGATTCTTTTCACATATAGGTTATTATAGAATACTGAGTAGAGTTCCCTATGCTATACAGTATAGTCCTTATTAGTTACCTCTTTTATATATAGTAGTGCATATATGTCAATTCCAATCTCCAATCCTTGCTCCTGCTTCACCCGCTGGTAACCATGTTTGTTTTTTACGTCTGTGACTCTATTTCTGTTTTGTAGATAAGCTCATTTGTACCTTTTTTTTTTTTTTTTAAGCAGTGTCATAGGATATTTTCTCTTTCTCTGTCTGACTTGCTGCACTCAATATGGGAAGAGACGTTACTGTGGACATCCCCTGGGTCCCCCCAAGCCCTGCTCCTCCCACTGCCCTGGATTGGCTGAAAGGGGCCTCCTGACTTTAACGTTAGTGCCATTTGCCCAGTGTGGTAGTGGATGCCGAGTTTCAGAGGGCACTGGGGTTCCCACCTGGCTCCCTCCTGCCCGTCCAAGAAATTAGGGTGCTCACAGTGCGGAACTGGAGTCAGGTTCCCTGGGTGAGTGCAGGCAGCGGGGGCCCTACCCAGGCTGGGGCTCATCCGATCGTCCCTGCTGAGTACTTACTCTTGCAGGGGAAGAAAGAGGGAGAAAGGGACCCTGACGAATCAGAATTAAGAAGAGAGATGGTGATTTGTTAGTTTATTCAGTTTGGCAAGGCCAAACATCTGTTTCTGATTTATCCTGTAACACTGATTGCTTCCCCAAAATACTCCAAAGTCATCCACAAGATGGTGATTTTGATGCTGGAGAGACCACCCATACTTGGTGGGGGGCTTAGCTCATTTCAGTAACAAAGGGACAAAGGCCTGTCTGTGCGTCAGAGGGGACTGGTCTGTGTTCTATGCAAGATGGGGTAACCCTCTCCCCAAATTGCTTCAGATTTTCTTGAGGTTTTTTTGGTTGCTCTTGATTTTTTTTTAATTAATTTTGCAAATGGAACAAGAAGCCAAACTGAATGCATTCATGCTACTTATTATTTTGTAGTTTAACTTATTTTGCCAATTACTTCATTATCAAATTATAAGCGATTCTAGGGCAAACCTCCTAAGAGCCTGAGTTGAAATTCTATATAAATTACCCTCCTTGGTTCATTATTCCAGCATTATTCCTCTCTCTCTGATAGTTATCTCAAAAGTGGTGGTTCAGTTCAGTCACTCAGTTGTGTCTGACTCTTTGTGACCCCATGGATGGCAGCACGCCAGGCTTTCCTATCCATCACCAACTCCTGGAACTTGCTCAAACTCATGTCCATCAAGCCAGTGATGCCATCGAACCATCTCATCCTCTGTTGTCCCCTTCTTCTCCTGCCTTCAATCTTTCCTAGTATCAGGGTCTTTTCAAATGAGTCAGTTCTTGGCATCAGGTGGCCAGAGTATTGGAGCTTGAGCTTGAGCTTCAGGATCAGTCCTTCCAATGAATATTCAGGGTTGAATTCCTTTAGGATTGACTGATTTGATCTTCTTGCAGTCCAAAGGACTCTCAAGAGTCCTCTTCAACACCGCAGTTCAAAAACATCAGTTCTTCAGTGCTCAACTTTCTTTATGGTCCAACTCTCAATCCATACTTGACTACTAGAAAAGCCATAGCTTTGACTGTGCAGAGCTTTGTTGGTAAAGTAATGTCTCTCTGCTTTTTAATGTGCTATCTAGGTTTGTCATAGCTCTTCTTCTAAGGAGTAAGTGTCTTTTAATTTTGTGACTGCAGTCACTGTCTGCAGTGATTTGGGGAACCCAAGAAAATAAAATCTGTCATGGTTTCCATTGTTTCCCCATCTATTGCATGAAGCGGTGGGACCAGATGCCATGATCTTAGTTTTCTGAATGTTGAGTTTTAAGCCAGCTTTTTCACTCTCCTCTCTCACTTTCATTAAGAGGCTAATGAAAAGTGGTGGTGCAAATCCTTAGAATAGGATAGAAGAGATAAGTCTTTCTGTCCAATTGGGGTGTCAGATTACTTGTTATTGTTGTTGATCAGTTGCCAAGCTGTGTCTGACTCTTTGCAATCCCATGGACTGCAGCATGCCAAGCCGCCTCCCTGTCCTTCACCATCTCTTGGAGTTTGCCCAAGTTCATGTCCATTGAATTGGTGACTAGTTATGAATTCCTAACTTCTCTGAGCCTCCAGGCCACCAGCCTCCACCAGTGGGCTGAGTCCCCTTCCAGTGAGAAGTCTACAGGTTGTCAGCCACCGCTGGGGCTGCACAGTGAGCTCCGGGCTGCCGGGCATGAGGTGTGGCCACCTGGGACCCCAGTCCTCTGAGAATCCAGCAAGGACCAGGATGGGGACACTCAGCTGGGAACTGAGGCAGGATCCGGGGGAGGGACACTTGGGACCCCAGTTATGGGCACTGAGCCTTGGGCACTGTGAGTAAAACAAGATTCCTGTTCTTAGAACTTGGTTCACACCCACCCTTGAGAACATCTCGGTCACTGCT